GGTAAGATTAACCTTCCACGTAACCATCGGAGACTTGTCCGCGGGGAGTTACTTCGTCTCTCGGTATTACGACGGCGGTCTGTTAGCGATAATTTACATGGGATATTGGCGCGATCTAATTCGGGCGCGCTCCGGCAGCCGACGGATGGACGGCCGTGTCACGTTCGATTATATCCAGAAGGACCATGCTTCATAGCTACGAGCTTGCTGGAGCCTTAAATGAAGTGTTAGTTAACGCGACGAGCTGTCGATCTAGATTACCTGGTCTAGACGCGGTCTCCTCTGCGGACGTTTCCAGCGGCCTTCGCCGTGAAATGACATCGAGAAATTACATTACAGCGAAATTTTTAAGTCCAAAATTACAAAAACGATACTTTTAAAAGTGATTCTCATATCATAATAAAAATAAAAAAATAATGACTTACAGTTAAGATCATTTTTTTTTTTATAAAAAACATTTCTCAGTATGTTAAAAGATAATTATATGTAAATGAAAAAGATTAACATGATAATTGATATATAAGCAATAACTGTACGATTTGTTAGGACGATTTAAAAATTTTTTGTATAAGATATAATTGCCAGAAGAATTGCGTGTTTTATTTGTCGATTCTGCGACATTCCCGCCGACTTGAGAAATGCTTTAACGGCCATTCTGGTTTACTGCCAGCGATGAATTAACACTCAACTGCGAGACCACCGTTCGTTTATCGTCGACTGTGAATCATTTAGGCATATGCGTTTCGCGAGTAATATAAGTGTGACAATTATTCCGTCACGCCAAATAATCCGACGCTGATTCATATCGTTAAATCGGGCAAAGATATGACTAGATATGCTTATATTTGATTTAAATAACAATCTTGTTACTTCTTCAAAATGCAAAATCATTATTATATTGGGATTTTACACAGAAAAAAAATTAATCTTAAATCAAAACTATATATTCTCATATATAAGCAAGAATATTACAATTTTTATAGATGATTTTTAATTTTAAGTTGAGCAAAAGTAATATTTGCATCAATACAAGTCCCATCAAATCAAGATTAGAAAGTTTTTAGAAGAAGATTATAATATTCTTGCTTATATACGAGGATATTTGTCTTGATTTAAGATTTATATTTTTTGCGTACATATATATCATCAATCTTATATTTTATTTCTTTTTCCCCTTAGAGACGTCGTTTGCATATCTCATTATGACGCAACATAGAATTCACGAGTCTTGAGCAACGCGCTTCATCTCACTCGTGCTTCACTCGCTCGTTAGCAGACTCAATCATACGAATCGCGTGTAAACAAGCACGCGAAATTTTCTGCAAAATCAATCGGACGCCTATGGCCGCGCACCCCCGTGCGATTTCTCGTATTCGCGAGGAGCGTCTCGCCTCAAAGCAACACAGTCGCAGAGAGGCGGCGTCACGAGTGAAAAGCGAATATCCCGGGAATATTTTCTCCGAGTTCGTTTACACTCGTTCTCGTCGACCGGGACGCAATTTCCACTTTTCAAAGAGCCAGAAGAAATTCCGGCCCGCTGATAGGAACGGCGAGTTGGCAAAACCAAATATGTATTTCGCAGCTGCTTTGATCACCTTCGCGGCGAAAACGCCCACAGCAAACGAAAGGAGACCGAGGATGCCAACGAAAAACGCGAAGGCTTGTACGCCCACTCTCTTTCCCGTCCCTATGTAATTTCTCTTTCCTTTTCTTTGTCCTTTTATTTTTTATTTTTATTTTTTTTTTCAAAAACGCAGATTCACGAGTTTACGTACAAGTACGTTCGTGTGTACTCTGCCTTCCGAAAGACGATGCGACCCGAATACGAAGGACGGTTCGGTCTTTTTAACTGCCAGGATTAATTAATGTCGGTCCTTCGTGAGAAATATCGGACCGATGCTATTTTTAAAGACGCAAAGGATTCCGTGCGACGGAAATAAGGACGAACACGAAGCCAACAGTACCGAGTGATTAAACCTTCCTGATGCCACGTGTTTGAGCAGGCATAATTAAAACTCTCTCTTTCCTCACGAGCAAAGAATAAAGCGTACTTTGACGAACGGCATGATGTAAAAAGATGATAAAATATGCATGCGGAAAGATATTCTCATCTAGCGCTTGTAACAAGATATTAGCGAGCGAGAATATGAATTAATGAATGGAAGAAATCAAATTTTGAAATGATTACTTCATATTTAATTCTAATATCTGATTTTGAATATCTGATTATGAATATGTGATTTTGAATATCTTATCTTGAATATCTATCTTAGTATTAAATATAATCCTCATATATATTAAATGATCAAAATGTCAAATCGAGCTAAATATAGGCATTAATAAAGCAATTCAATGAATTTAAATTTGATTAATTTAACTTTCTTGCTTTTTCGATTCATAAAACAAATATTATCCAATGCATATGATTTTAATAAGCTTCTTTTAAATTTAGCTTATGTCACTTTCGAACACATCATATGTGAATCTAACATACAAATTAGGATGGCATAGGATCATAACCAACATTCCCATATGAGTAAAACTTGATCCCCATACGAAACTCGAACTGTCACGATCATCATGCTCGAAAATAAAATGGACACCGGTCGCCGAGAGCATTTTCAGTGAGCCATATTACGTCGCTGCTCGCAAATATTCAGCATGATGCTTGATTGAAGGGTATTCTGCACGCAGCTAAAAATATCCGCGCGTATTTGCGCCAGCGAGCTCACCTAAACCCAAATAAAAAATCGTTACGATATTTTGATGTAAGATCTATAAGCCATGCGATATTCGTTCTTTTTGTACGTCGCTCGTAAACGTCATGCGTGCTGGCGAGTCCGTTTCAAACAAACCGACCGACTGTAACTTTATTTTTCCGAACTGCGTTACCGAAAACTATTTTGAAAGCGGACTTTTTGGCTAATCGACTTTTTTACAACACAAATTTTTAAAGTAAATTAATGACAAAAATTTCATATAAGACACTACTTGCACTAAAAATTAAAATACTAAAAATTAAATAAAACGTTCATTGATTAACACGAGATATCTCGTGAATAAACGTCGATAATAAACAAGTCTTTCTTTACTTTAAAAAATTGCTATGAAACAAATATTTCAGATACATACGAGCCAAGTAGCGAAATTAATAATGTCCGAATTGCATCGGGTGGTTTTTATATTTCGACATCAATACAAATAAAAAGATCAATGATCGGTTACAGTATATTTGAACAAATATCGTTTTCAAACGGGGCTCATACAGAAGATAAATGGCCCAAGTTTTAATAGCATCCAAATAGCCGTCGGTGTCCACAGGGAAAATCCGAATTTATGAACCTCCGGAAGGATTTAATTTATTTAAATTTCAGACTGGTAAGCCAGGTTTAAATCCTGATTTACCACATGGCTTTTCTTGTTACACGCACATACACACTTACTATCTAGGCTTAAGAGAACTGTTATCGCGAGTGTGCTTTTACACAACTTTCATGTATAACCATACACAAACCGATAAACTATTGACAATGTTTCGCGTTATAAAAAACCTAATTAAAAAAAAAACAAAAAAAAACAAAAAAAACAGAAGCTGAACTTCTATCTATAGTCTGATCATTTTTCATTTGTATCATCCATAATTTTTTGTGATAATTTATATGTATGTGTGTTATAAATAAATTAATATCTTTACAAAATCAGGAAAGTATGAAGATGCACGTAAAGCGTGCCGCGCGTTACGAATAGAAAAGAATACATTACTGCTATATTATGTAGATTCTTTCATACAAAAGATAAGCCTTTGACTTGATTCTTTTTCCCTTTTTCACTTTGCTCTTGCCCAGCATCTAATGTTTAAAACACTAGCTGGTCGAGTTCGAAAAAGAAAAAGTATTACGCGTATACAACATAAATAATAAAAAGTCTGTAACGGTATAGATCGCTGAATTATCTGAAAACTTCCGCGATCGGGTCGTAGTTCAAGCGCTGGGAAAACACGCTCCAAGCACAAACCCATTAATCATCGAAGTAGGAGGCATCGATGACTGATGAGATACTTAACTTAACTCGCATCTAGGTGGGTTCGAAGATCACTAACGCTTAAAAAGAAGAATCGATCGACTTCGTTTCTAACAATGGAGCTTGCATCTGCATACATCATCCGACCTGACTGATCCTAGATACATGTACCATATATTGTACATAGAAAAAATATGGAATAAAATAAAAATTTGTTACACAAATAATTCTGAAAAATTTAAAAGTTTGTAGAATTTTTACATAATTTAGTTTCTGGAAATATACAGTACTCAAATAGAAATGCTATATAACGAATATAACATAAAATTAAATTTTATACAGAATATATATAAATAATATAACAATCAATAATATAACATTTTTTTTCTCTATTCTTAAATGAATCTAAATCTTATAATAAAAAAAACTTAGGCTACCTATTTCTTTATATCTCTGTTGTACACGAAACACTTTCGGTGTTTTTATCGTTAAAAGACTATTGCTTGTATTCGCGCACGCGTGATGAGCGCATTTTCCCCAGAAAATATTTAACGCATTATACGCATGGACGACGAGATTTCTTTTGCGCTCTCTCCCTTCCCCCCCCCTCCCCCTCCTCTCTCTCTCTCTCTCAATCTCTCTATCTCTCTCTGCAAAGTTAAGTAATTGGAAGGCCCGGTTTGGTGATTTATCACCGGCTTCTTGACGCACGAAAGGGCGCAGGGTTAGAGAGGAGGCTGGCATCTCAGGCGGAGATTGTTGCCACGTTGACCAATGATCGATCGTTCTGATAGATGCAACGCGTATTGCGATCAGCCGTACGTTGTTGGTCCTTGTAATCACCGAATGGTGATTAAGTGATTTCCACGAGAAAAATTGCGAGTCAAATCTGCCGAGATGTCTGTTTATCTTTTCGTTATAAGACTATCTCATTCGGTGGTCTTAGTGCGTCGAAACGTTCTAGTCTGTTGTAATTTCAGGTCAGAATGATATTAAGAAACTGCGCCGGGAGAACGAGCAGCTGCGTAGAGAAATATGGAGTCTCAGGGACGAGTACGACAAACTCGAGGATATCTTGAAAAAACGGAAGAACCGCGACGAAAGTGACGAGGTAGGCGGCTTGATGAGGCTTAATTGCATTGATGTCAGAAACTATATGAACAATTCATAATAAAATTGATAAAGCATAATAAGCATTAACGGAATAAAAGAAAAATTTTCATTCATTATTTTCTAAAAATATTAATTTATCACGCGTCAATATCATTGTTGTGATCGATATAATCAAAATGACGATATGTGTTGGAATCTGCTGCAAATTGCAGGATCGTTCCGAGGAGGATGACGGCTTGCAGTCGGACTTCTCTTGCGAGGAAGACGAGAAAGAGCACGAAAATAATGAGAAAATGATCAAGGACTTCAATCAAGAAGAGCAGTTAGAAAACGCGGAGAATCAGAAGATTTCTTCCGAGAAGATGAGCACTAGTATGCATCGACTTCACATAGAGTTCGACGATCTATCGGTTGTTGATGAGGAGGAGGAGCTGAAAAAAGATAAGGATAAGAAGGAGACGACACCGTCGGAGCAGGGCCAGGGAAACGAGGCTGCAGAACATCCGCCTCCGCCGATTCTCGGTCCTCGGCAGCTTCACGATAACATCCCGTTTTATCCGGCCACGTATGAGCCGACGAGCGGTTTTAGTGGAACCAGTTATTACACCGAGTACCCGTTCGAGTTTCCAAGTACGGTGGATTTAATGCTGTCCATGGATACGTCCGCGCTATTGGCTTCATCATATTCAGGATTACAATCTGATCCCTTGATCTCGCTGGCCAATTTAGACGCCGGGGGTCTAGAACAAGTCGATCCGACGCTACCTCAAATTCACCTTCCACCTGTCGGTTGGCAGAACGACATGATTTCTCAAAAACAAATGCCGACCTATATGGATACGAGCCACGCTCCTGTCATGCCAATAACGGAAATGCAAGTGACAGAAAGGCCGGATTCGCAATCGATAACAATTTCCTCGTTGGGAGGCCTGCCATTAAATACTTTCAGTTTCGTAAGAAGAGAGGCAAGTACGAGGCAACCGACGAAGCTCGATGAGATATCAAGTATACAAGATTCACAAACACAATTTTCGAATGCCGAAGAAGTCAGCAGGAAGTCAGCAGTGGATTCTTCTAAATCTATCATGGTGAACGGAGAAAAGGATATTCAATATTCACGAAGTGAGAATCAAAATGCCGAAGAGTCTACTGCGACGGGAAAGCCTAAACAATTTTTCGCGTCGCTGCCTTTCAAATTGAAGAAACAAGAGGAAGAGTCACCAACCGCCAGTGTAAATTATTTTGGAACCGGAACTAGTTCAAGTAGCGGTAAAACGGCTTCCACAGTGATTTCGAGAACTAATCCTTTTACGGGACTAAAAGGTTCGGCAGACATTTATGTAAACGGTGCGGTACCTTGCGAGGACCTTGCTTTAAGAGATAAAAACGATTCGAGGACTTTTTTGAGTACAGATAACCTACTGATCTCGGATAGTAAAAGTGTTCCGGCTAATCAATTAATGAAATCGATATCGTGTCAAGATCTCTCGAGCGAGTCTCAAAGTGTAGCGCAACAATTGAAATTGAATCACGTTGAATCTCAAACGCTCACGAAAAGTGACAATACTCTGGACAATATAAGCGGTTTCTCTAATAAACCCTACAAAAGTCACCTAAACGTGACGCTAAAAATACCACGAGTCGAACAAGCGCCGAGTCCGGAAACGCCGGAGGTACCTAACTTACCCTCGATAGATTATCGTCTCTTCAGGAATCCCTTTCTAAGAAACTTCGACAAGATTTATCCCAATTACCAAGAACCGAATCCTCCACCCACTACGACGCCACTTTCTATTCAGGTGAACGATGACAAGCTTGCTTATCCGTATCCTGTACCAGCTTACAATCGGGGTGTTCATCTCAACGAGAAGGTTCGAACTGCACACTTGCCGGACCAGAGTCGATTGCTAATAGCGAGCGATCAACTGATGAGCAACAAGCAGGACATTCAAGTGACTTCCTTCGAGAGACCGAGTCCTTGCACCTTGATACCTTCTGCAACGCCTTATGAGCTGGCGAGTTTGGGTAGATTGAATGCAAATCGATATCTGCAGAGTCAGAATCTACGCCAGAACGTTCCGTTCGTGCCGCGAGGACCCGGCCAATTTTATTCACAGAGATGCGGAATGATGTACTATGATAATGTCACGAAGGTACCAGCACAAACGCAAACGTCGATCGATGGCGATTCGCATCATGAAGACGAGGAAACGGTCAGCGCACCAAATTCGCCGAGCGGACAGAGACGGAAAAAAATTATGAAGAAAGACAAAACCTTAATTAAGGATCCAAAATTATTATCACCGATGACACAAAGAAAATTGAAGAAACAATGCAACGCCACATCGACAGATACGCTCGATTCGCCCGAGAAAACGATACGGAAGAGGTCGAGAAGGTTGAGTACGATGTCACCTGACGCGCAAGAGAACAAGAATGAAAGCAGGTCGTCATCCTCAGGTCAGGACTCGCCGCGTAAGGATCAAAATCGAAGGTCTGTCTACATTAATTCTAGGCGAAGACCATCTCAAGTGTCGCTAAAAACCTCGAGGAGTGGCAGCGTCGACAAGGACAAGTTTACGGATGGTACCGCATTGAATTCGGAGCGCGAGAGGACAAACTCAGTCAGCAGTCGGGAGACTGCTAGCGTGAAAGCTCGTAAAACTAGTACCAGTAGTGGTAATGTGCCATGGTGCGCGTGTTGGGGGAATGGTTGCATTTAATTACGGTTGTATTCAATCCAATTCAGGAATGTAAGTAACCTTTGTGAACCTTGGAATCCAATTTTTGAAATTAACTTTTTGTACGGAAACAAATGACAATCTGCGAAAGTTACAATAAATCCGCTTGCATAGTCTTTTTTTTAGAATCGTTTGAACAATTGAACTACAAACGAAACGGAAAACAACCGCAAACGATTCTAAAAAAGATTGCGCAAGCGGATTTTCGCTATCTTAAAAAATGGCAAACTTCCCTCTTAGCCATTTGTTTAAATTGTTGGAATTTTTGAACGATTTGACTGCAAACGAAATGAAAAGTGCTACAAACAACTACAAACGATTTTAAAAACGACTGCTCAAGTGGATTTGAAATATTTTAGTGTTGGGTGCGAGTCATTTTTTAAATTTTTATATTTTTTAATAGATGGAGCAAACAACAAAATTATTGCTACAAACAACTACAAACAATATACTAACTGTAATTCATATAAAAAAGTTAATTTTTCAAAAGTTGAGTGGTAAATTTATAAAGATATGTAAGTAAAGAAACAGAATGGATGTAAAGTGCGAAGCGTTAACTAACTTTAACGTAAAAATTATATTAATTAATACATCGATTACTACAGAAATTTTAAAAATTAATATTAATTTTAAAAATAATATTTATTACTCGAGCGCTCTAAAAAAATTAAATTGTAATTTAATTGTAATTTCATTGTAAATCAACTTTCTTCCATCAAAAAATTAGGTGCGTTAGGTAGATATCGATGTACACATGTAATCACCAAATCATTAGTACTAGTCTGAGTATCTCTCAGTAGTCTGATCTCGTATGCATCTTGCGAAATGTTAAAACGAGAAGCTATCCGGTTTGAACCGGACGCGATAGCCTTTATTTATTTAAGACAGTTGCGATTTGTGTCAACAGCGAGAGATTCTTGCTACTTTCTGGCTCTCGGGCGGGAGAGGGACCAGGTCGACTGAATAATTCGAAGGACAAATATCAAAGGGAAATGCTGATGGGCCGTAGAATGAATTCAGGAAGGAAGACCTTAACTTCCCGTTGCTGGTGTAAGGGAACCGCCATTGTAGCCGGTAACGCAAGTCGTAAAACAAGCACAGACAGCAGTACTACGGTGTTGCTAACGTCACATCGGGGTGACAGTTGCATCTAAACTAGTTCTGCCAAGAGATCGGGAAGATGGGCCTGCATCCGCTCTTGAGGCAAATTTACTGGGTTCACCAGTAAATTAGCATGGGCGCAAGCTTGTCGTAAGCACGCGTGCGAATAATGGTACACGTTCTCGAATTATATAGCTCTTCTGGTAGCGATAATCCAATCTACGATTGGATTTCTCAAACTGAAAGTTTGAAGTAGACCTAAAATATAGGATAGAGGACTTTTGGAAATATAGGATACTTTTAGAAAGTTTTTAGATTATTACATTGTATTTTATAGAAATTAAATTTTTATTCGCGAATAAGTACAAAATTTAAATTTAAAAATAAAAATTCCGATTGCTTATTATTAATCGTCATGTGCGCTAGTTATTAGTTACAAAAGTATTGTGTTATATCTCGCAAATTTAAACGAAATATCGTACATTATTTCTAGCCATTTATTATAGTCATATATCGCGGTTCGATGTTTTAATATTATAATCTAAAAGATTATAAAGAGGTTATATGGCAAACAAGTATTTTACGCATTTATAGCAGACTAATTTTTAGAATAATATTAATCAGATAGTAAATGTACATAAGTAACTGCATGCTGCATTGAAGGAGGAGGATAGTTATACTTGTATATATATTTGTATATATTAATAATTAATTTATATCAATATATCGGTGGTATTTAATGTAACGCATATATTATCTAGAAAAAAATCAGGAAAAAATTCTTATAAAATATATTTCAGTAATGCATTGTACTTTTATACTTCATGCATTTTAAAATACAAACGTTGATGTATTTTTTACTGAAGTAAATTATTAATCCGTATATCTCTAATGACCATTAGGTAAATAATACTCCCAGCTATTCTCACATTATATTCCTGCGAATCATCGATTATCCAGTTGCGTGAAATTTATTAATGGCCCAAGGGGTACAAGGGAAACTTAGCGGCAAAGTTCGCGACTATCCCTTTGCGGAAACTTCTCCGCGCTGTTATTCGCCGTCGTTCAATTACGCACGAAAATGAAGAGAGAAAGAGAGACGCCATCATGCTCTTCACATTTTATGAGACACTAGAAAAACATAATTAAAATTCTATATAAATACTCATTAAAATTCCGTATAATAATACACATCTTATCACACATCGTAAAACAATGATCATGTAAGATAGATTTTATACGATTCTTGCATTCGATCTTAATTCTTTATTTTTTACTGAAAAGAATAATTACATTTTTTTTTATATAATTTAAGATTATTCTAGAATTCTAGTAAGTTTTACACGCTATATAAGAATTTTTAATAATTTTTTATTTCTAACAGATATGTATAAAATAATTTGCAATAAATCTGTTTAAATCTAAAACAGATGGGTCCCTTAAACAACAGGGAAAAATATTTCTTAGCCAAAAGATTTCAGCGACGGGTGTACAAGAATAATATTATTCTATGAGCACTCATCCCACATTTCACTAATCGCTGCTGCAACATCTGGCAATATATTTAGCGCACTTATACAGGTATGCGGAAATACCTCAACCTCTTCAATTACCGTGAACGTGTTCGTGTGAGTCGCAACTAACAGCGACGAATTTAAATGAAAAATGCCGGGTGTTGTCATTCGAGCAGATCTTTGCGAGAAAGTGGGAAGGGCTGGTTGGGTCGCGTACAACGACCGTCAGCGGACGAAAGCAGCGAGGAAGGTTGCCAGTGCAATTAAAATGCAAATCATCCCTTTTCCCTGCCTGTCCGCTAGACCATCTTTCCAGGAGGTCTCTGGTCCTCTCGCGTCCTCGCAACTCTACACCATAATGGTAACGCCGTCACCGATTAACTTGGAACTAGTTTAGGAGCGACTCGACTCGGCTCGGCTTCGCTCGCTCGGCTGCGCGAAGTCGCACAAGGAGCAAGAACAAGACGCGGTCTTTCGCTCGGTCTCTCTCGCAAAGTGCCACGTAAATGGAAGATGGCACGTTAATACGGTCTAACATCATTTGCAAATGTCACTGCGAGACGTGCTCCCGGCGAATCCAACGCGAGGTACGTCTTATCATAGAAGAAACAGAACTACTTCGTATACTGCGGCGAATATGAAAATTATAACGGGGTTCTAAGACTGTTTTAATATCGCATGCCGGATAATTCAATAATCAGTATCCATTCGAGATATAATTCAGAAATTCATCCATCCAGAATTAAGAAATAGAATGTTGAATTTCTAGAGATTGTAACATCTTCAATTGAAGTAATCCTTTAATCCACATGTGGTTTTCAAATCGACACATCGTATCATTGCTCCAAATATGTTTTATTTATATATTGGAAAAAAAGTTTTTTTCACCCAAATATATTTAAATATTTGGGCAGATACATCTCAAAATAATTTTGTTGAGACATCAAAATAATCATATAATTATTCGGTATTAAAAACAATAATCTAAAAATAATTTAATCCATTTTTTATATTTATTCAGAATTTTATCACGCATTTTTTCAGGATACACAACAGAAAGGAATTTAATACGATTACGTATACGATTTTAGCTTTTCCGTGTCATATTTCTGACACGGCTCAGACGAACAAATCGTTACCGAGACGAATATGCAGATTAATCGTAAGGCAGCAGCAATATCGCTGTCATCTGTCTGCAAGATAACTGCGGAATGCGGACAGGCCGGAAGTAACATCGCATTGTCTTCGTGGAAATAGCGCGGAACAAGATGGAAGAGACAGTACCTTAATGGCCTGATTTCATTTGCAAATGTCATCAAGAATTTTCACTCCGCCCAGTGATGGAAACGTTTCGCGTTTCTCATGCGAGATGATAAGCGTAATAATAATATGCAGAGGCATAATTCCCACTAACACATACTACTTAATTAATTATGCGGAAGAGCTGGTTTTGCTCGTATTCAATTTGCAGATAACAAAATACGACATTATGTGCTGACATATGTAAGTATTAAAATATTACAATAATTAGAAAGCAAACTCATCCCTAAGTGGAGTAACATATTAAGGACAAGTAGTTTTTTAACAATTATAATACATTTTTAGTTGCATTTTGAAATTTTTTTTGACTTAACTTATTTTATTTATCATATTGTGCATATTAATCGTTTGCAAATTTTGCATGAAAGAGCTTATATTATTCGTATGTAAATTATAAATTACATAAGCTTTTATACTAATTTATAACTAATTTATAACTGTTGAAGTTTCCATTTTAACCATATAAAAGAATTTTCTGTTATTTTAAAGGCCTGATTACGGAAGCATATCGTGAAATCGCGCAAAATGTGATGGAACTTGCGTGAAATTTCCGAAGTAAAAGTGAGTAATTAAAAATCTTGCGACTTATATAAAAACATTACAATATATAAAAAAATCATTGATATAAAAATAAAACTATATCTGATGTTTTGTTGCGCTTTCGATTCAAGATTGTGTTTTTTAGTTATAAAAATTACCAAACAAAATTTACCAATTCCGAGATCAATATCAATTTTTCACTATAGAGCAATGTAAGAAAACTTAACTTTGATATTTGAAGAAACGTGTCTATAATTTCGATATTCTGAAGAAATATGTTTTCTATAGTTTCGTTCTTATGAAAGCATATCTTTACTTGCATGATATACGCATAACTCGTTTTCCGTGTATCCCAATTAAAAGCTAAGCTAATCATCAGTCAGTATTCATAAATATAAAATATGGAACGTGATTATCCGCTGTTACAACGCTCGTTAAGATAATAAGCTTTAATTACGCGCTTGGTAAACCTACTGTGAATCTCGTCAGTACGACCAGGTCATTGGCAATGGACGTGACGGCTAAGATTTTTATCGAAAGAGACCTGTTGAACCATTTGCAATACCAAAGAATAAACATACAAATGTGAGATGTTTTGTCACATTAACTATACACAATCGTGTTCGAGAAAAATGTACCAAATGTACCAAATATGTAGAATAGTAGTAGCAGTTTCTAGACGTAACAGATGCATATAGATAAAAGAATCTGACGGCGATATGGCATGTCTACTGTTCCTAAAAAAAGGGTCAAGGATGATCGGCATAAGTTTCACCTGAAAGAAATTTCCGCCGTTCAAATTCGTGAAAGCTTTTGCAAGAATCCACGAGTCCATCTCCGTCCTCGCTGTTTCCTCGTCGCT